TCTATCACCTAGAAGATAGTATCAAGTTACTGTATATACTCATGTAAAAGTAGAATTTTTTAGACTATTTTTTAAGGTTAAATTTATGGGGTCAACTGTTACATGCATACTACTTTTGAGGGGCTGAAATTCATGCTACAGTCCAAAATACCATACCATTAGCAGAAGCCCAATCAATCTCTAAACGAATGAAAAAAGAAAAGCACAATGAATTATGGTAATTATTGGATAAAGACAATGGAAACAAAAATGAATTAGTAAGCTTTTATTTGTACATACAAAAAGTGAAGTAGAAATATAATACGGCTTTAAATTACATGATGCATCTTGAATTAAACATGTCAAATATAAAGGCTCATTAAAATCCTGCAAAATCATGCTTCCTGTTCAGCACAAAATTAAGCTTCATAATCATCAGGATGAATGATATTGTCGTATGGATCCTCTTCATTTTCGCTGTCCGTAGTTAGAGGTAGCACATCATCTGCTTCTTCTTCATCCCATAGATAATCAGCCTATGTACCATCCAATACATGTTAAATTCCACATTTCTTGAATGATTTGAAAGTAGTGTCAGCTTTCATTTCCTTCCATGAATCAACGATCCAATCACAGATCAGTGGCAGTGATGGAGCCCACGTACTGCTTCCTTCCATGTATGTTTTTTCTCCATCGCGCATCCAGTTATTCCACTTCATTCTCATCATGTCCTTAAACGGCTTATTGATACCAACATCTGTTGGTTGCAAAATGCTTATAAGTCTGCGGGGAAATACAGTTACATCAATGTTATGTGATCAGATGTTATCAACAACATTCTTCACTAGATGTGATCTAAACGGGTCCCAGAGCAAACTCTCTTTTCCTTGCGTACTCCACCAGGTTGTAAATTCCAAACTTCCTTTATCCATTTTCTACATCCACCTTCAACCATCAAGCCTTGTGGATGAATATGGATGATGATTCCTTTTGGAAATTTTTCCTTTGGCAAAGTGTTTTTCTTGAAAACAGCCATCGGTGTTTACTTAGTGCCATCAACCATACAAGAAAGAACTAGAGTAAACCTACTTTTCACATGGCCAGTGGTTTTGACCAATACAGTTTTTGTTTTTCCTTTTTGGTTCGCAGTTTGATGCTCCGGCATGTTGAGAGTAATAGACGTTTTGCCATGTTTCCAATGCATCATAACTTGTAGCCTTCCTTCTGCGATTTCTCATTACAAACTGTTGAAACTGTAGTATCTTAACCTTCAAGTTCAGCAGGCAGCTTTTATGCAATCTTATTTTTCTGCCGAAGTACTAAGTCATGCCTTCTCATGAACCTTGTGCACCATCCAGCACTTGCCTTAAAATGTAAAATTCCATCCTCCTTTGATTCATTTAATGCACGGATTTGGTTGCCTTCATGATTAACACATATTTCATTTTTCAAGTACCCACTCAGCAACTTTTTTCTCCAGTTGTGGCCACCTGCCAGGTTTACCTCTGTTGGCATACTTCTGTTTTGGCGTTGTCTGAAATTGATTCGATATCTTTCTCCAGTCTCTCTCAAGTTCCTCTGAAACACAAAATTTTCTTGCTGCTACACAGATATTTGTTGTCTCTTCAACTTCAATAACTTTCAGTTTAAATGCTGCTGTATATTTTTCCTTTTCTGGAGGGCATTTTTACACAAAATGATGAAGAAATTTCAAAACCTCAACTAGGTATATGACTGTATTCCACGAATGCCTGACTCTGACCTGATGCATCTTAAACTTTTGTGTTAAATTCTTCCATTTCCCTCCATTTTCTGTCATCTGCTGTTTTAGTTTTTCAAACAAACATTTTAAGCTTTTATTTCTGATAAAAATGTTATCAGAAATTTGACTCTCATACAGTTCCACCAATCATTTCATCATGGTCACAATTATGTACAGAATAATACCTCTCAAGTGTTAATCTATTATCTGTGAAGTACTAGGAACGACTTTTACATGAGATACATGGAGCATTCAAAATTTTTTGGCCAAAAAAAGGGGGTCAACTTTTACTCAAGTATATACGGTAATTTGCCCACTGTTTTATAAGACCATAAGAAATAAGAGCAAGAGAGGTGTGTGTTAACTTGTTCAAACTAAAATACTGTACCAAAAATTGAATGGGACACTTTGGTTGTCCCAGTTTTAGAATTTCATATTTTTCAGCTGCGACAGTGTAAGTCCTGACAATGTTGGAAAGAGATACTTTTAATGAAGAGTTTGTGTTTGTAAACTATTGATCGCTTATTTAGGGTCAGGGTAAAATCTTTTATTTTTTCACAGAATGTGAGCATCTCTGGAAAGATCAAACATTTGATGCCTTGAAAGGTGATAATGGAACCACTGTCTTGAATCGGTGGCATTCATGTGGTTCCTGTGGTACTATTAGGAAGGAAGTTCCAGGATTTTCACTTGTGACGATAAATGGAATGGCAGTATAGATCCAAGTCAGGGTGTTATGTGGTTTGAAGGGCAATTTGCAAATGGTGGTGTTTCTATGCACCTGCTGCCTTTGTCCTTCTAGGCAGGGCACATGTTTGGAAGGTGCTGTTGAAGGAGCCTGATTGAGATGCTGCAGTACATCTCGTCGATAGAGGACATCACCGTCACTCTGTATTGGTGTTGAAAGGAATGAATATTGTGGTGGTGCATTGGGTAACAATCAAAAAAGCTACTTTGTCCTAAATGCATATAGGGTTCATGGCTGTTATTGGAACTGAAATCATCCAGGCAAGTGGAGAATATTGCATCGCATTCTTGGTTTGTTCCTTGTGGATGGTGGACAGACTTTGAGGGAGTGAATTATCACAGAATTCCCAGTCTTTTGCTTCTGTAACCACAGTATTTATGTGGCTGGACTGGTCAAGTTTTCAATCGGTGGTAACTTCCCATGATCACATTGATTTGCATGTTTAAAAAGTCCTTATGGGTCAAGGATATGGGAGATTGTGCTCAGGTGCTAAAATGATTGAATTTGATGTTGAGCCCAGAAGGTTGCAAGATTCTCAAGCGGGAAATGAGGTGTTGTTCTTCCAGTTTACCCTAACCCCATATGCCAGGCCTTGTCATCAGATGGTCTGCTACCACTAGTAACCCATTGTCAGCCACTAATGGTCCCCATTAGCAGCTATTCATTCTCCCATGCTGACCTTTACCCATTCCTTTGTCTGCCCAACTGTTTTTCTCTTTCTCTGGGCTTCATCTCCATTTACTCCTTCCCTCCTTCCTCCTTCCTCCTTTCCCCCCTCCCTACCTTCAGCATACATACCAACCCTCTTGCCAGCTACAGTCAGTTCCGAAGAAGGGTCAGTGGACCTGAAACGTTAACTCTGCTTTCTCTGCACAGATCCTGCCAGATATGCTGAGTTTTTCCAGCAATTCTCATTTTGTTTCTGGTTTCCATCATCCGCAATTCTTTTTTTTAAGTTTCTGCACATTGCAGAAGAATAAAATTTCCTTGTGTGTATATATAATATTTTTAAACTCTCCAAATGAAATAATATGCTGCTGTTTTAAATATCTACTTGCCTATGATTGTTGGTTTAGGGAAGCTAAGTACGTTCTATGGCAGCTGTCTTATTGAGAAATGCTATGAATTTTAAACCAGCGTAATGTTTCATTATCAGGTGCAAATAAGAATTAGCTACAGCAGAAATTGTTTCACCTTTTGAAGTTTCTTTGTCTACTCGTTACTTACCTGGGTTGGATTGAAGCACCTGTCTATTTGAGTCTCTTATTTTTATTTTGGCTTGATGGGTTAATGGGGTGGGGTGGGAGGGTGCTGTATGATTATAATGGTATGACTCGAGGACTGCTGCATTGCCATCATTACCAACGCAAACAGACCTGTCTGTGAGACTTTGCTATGCATAAATTGACTTCAAGTGTAATTTGTTGCTGTAGGAAACACTGTGGAACAGGTTGAGGCAGCATTCGACCAAGATAAGTTGGAGCAGTTTATATGACATTGATGTTTTTATATCTGGGACTGGATATTTACCTTTGTTACTGCTCCTCTGTGTTGCTTATTGTGGTTTGTGGTTCATTAGAAATTTAAAAACAAATTCCATTCACTTATTTAAAAAAAAAACTGCTGGGTACTTGTGGTGCAGTTAGTCATGTAGAACTGAAGGAGCCCAGATTGATTCCTATTCTGGGCTGAATGTGCTGAAATCACAGATTTTAACTCAGTTTCTGTTTTTGCAGATGCTGTCAAACCTGAGTTTCTCCAGCATTCTGTGTTTGTTCCCGATTGCCAAAATCAGCAGTATCTTGCCTTTGTTAGGTAAAGTGGCTTTATGGACTCAGGAGTGAGCCACTTATCTCAGAGTACCCAACCTTGCCCCTGCTGCTGTGGCCAGTTAAGATTCTGACCTATGGTGACTTCTTTTCTCCCCTCAGGAGTTTGATGATTCCAGTCATTCCGGTGCCCCTTGAAGGGGAGGAGGTTGATGGTGTCGTAGTGTTGGTGTGGTACAGGAGGGGAAAAGGCTAGAGTTTCTGCTCCAGATCATTATCTAGACACCTCTGTTGGAAAAACGAGTGTGTGTTGTGGGACGGCTAGGTTAAGCTCTGTTATGGTGTAACCCTGCCTCAAAGTTGACCAGCTCTCACTGTTTAGACTAATATATGGAGAATGAACGTATCTAATGTCATTGGAACTGTACTCCAGCATAGTGTTTGAGAGGAAATGATGAGAAAATTAGTGGGGAATACTAAAACAAATATTCTCATTTTTAAATGAAGCACTCTGTCTTTGGGACTCAATTCTGCAAACTCAGCACTTATTCGCCAGTGCATTAAAACTCTTTTTTGTGATGGTTAATGAAGGTCACAAACCGTTTACTTTTTCCATCGAGCGTATTGGTGCTGGATCAGTAATTGCTGAATGTCATGGTTGCTGCGGCTGTCAGCCTGCACATTTTGAATGGTTTGCACTTCCTTACCCTTCAGTAGTAACGAACTGTTGTTTCTATTGCAGAAGGCACCTTCTTGTTGCTGCAGCTATTGGAAGGCAACTTCAAAGATACTCTATTGAATCCAAAGATTAAGGAGATTTTTCCTGCTCAAATCACCATTGGAGAAGTTATTGACAACTACTTGGAAAATCAGATCTTGGCATACCTTGACAGTCCATCAGAAGATCAAACAGAAAGGTGAATTTAAATTGATTAACACCACTGTTTCAACTTCTTACATGTCTTTTTCCTAGAGCACTTAAATGTACTGAAATGATGTAACCAAAGGAGGCCATTCAGCTCATTGTGCCCATATCTTTGGTAAAGCACTCCACTTAGTATCACTCCATTGCTCTTCCAACATAATGGTTTTTCCCCTTTCAAATATATATTTCACCATGACTTTTCTAAGATACCATAATTTCTGGCAATAATTTCAGAATGCTATTCTCTCAATGTGAAGGAGAAACCATACATGATAATCTGAAGTGTTTTATTTTCATAGAGTAGTATAAGTGAAGGACTGAGATGTGGGTTGCCATCCTGGTGAAAAGAGCAGGAGTAGGTATAACCTAAATCAATAAGTATGGATTTGATCATTCCAACTCAAGTTATTGAATCAAGAGGAGAAATTCTAAGTGCTGGGAAAGGTTGAATTAGAATGTTATTTCAAAGCCTTTTTGAATCATATAAACAGGCCATTATATACAACAGGTTCGTGCTAGTGTTTATGTTGTGTACATGCCTCTTTCATTCTTTTTCCGTCTAATGCTATCAACATAACCTTCAATTTCTTTTTTCCTCATGTGCTATTCTAACTTACTCTTAAAAGAATCCTTGCCAATCATCTTAACTGCTCCCTGTGGTAATGAGTTCTTCATTCTAACCATTCCCTGAATAAAAAAAATTGTTTATCTTGAATTCCATTTTGTTTATATTAGCGACTCTCTTGTATTTATGGTCCTGGTTCTTATCTTCCCCACAAGTGCAATTATCTTTGTGTTTACCCTATCAACTCCTGGTTGTATCATGGGCGTTACTGTAGTACAGGATCCATGCAATCCCTTCGAAAGGATTTTCACACCTTTATGTGTGCAGGCTCTTTATCTGTGCTTGTTTAACATTGCCAGAAATTATCAAAGCAATTAATATGAAATGAAAATCAGCCTACATGCTGTTGGCAATACAGGAAGTTAGCACGTCCTAACTTCAATTTTGGACTATCGACGTCCCAGCGAGCTCAG